GAGATGGCCGTCTGCAACACACACAGGGGTAGTGCAGCCTGCTGTGTGCAACCCACTCGACACAGGAAAACCACCGCCGCTGAAGTGCCATACCACCAGCACGAGAGCCCACTTCGAAGAGCGTGCTTGACTGTAGTTTTTACTTCTCTACGTAGAAGGTCAGGAGCAGAACGATAGAACCGCTCGGCTCCGAAGCGAAAAGCTGAATATGCGCTGCATCTGCTGCCTACTTATACTCACGCTGTGATCAGCAGCAGCTGGATGCAATAATCGCATGCCAATGTGCATTGGCTCGTTTAGTTTACACTCGAAGTAGATTGGTCTCTCTAAGCGAGATCCCAATTCGTCGGTCATCCGACGTGACGTCGGGAGTGACCGACTGAAAGGGAACCTCTGATACGTACCATCTGCTTCCAAAAAGACTTGAAATAGGTGAAATCAGTATATTAATTCACAGAGAAAAGCATTTTATATAATTAGACACATTTATGATTATACATAACCATTTGTGTTTACCTATCAGTTGTAGTTTGTTTTTAAAATGTATTTTGAAAGATGCAATTGCTCATAAGCCTTTAGAAAGCAACAGGTGTGCTGAATCCACTGTCCACTGTGTCAACTGGTTGACATATGTTGTGTTCTTTTGGCATATTGTTTATGTAAAGCTTCTCTTTCCTGTTGTCTTCAGCAATGAAAGACTTTAAGGTGACAGTGAGGCGCACGGAGGCTTCTGAGAGGTGCAGCCTGAAAGGAACAGTGCTATTACGGACTGATTTTGATAGCCTCCTTCTGAAGGAACCCAAGGCCGGAGAGGTTCTCTACTCTTGGCCCTACCGCTTCCTCCGCAGGTTCGGACGAGATAAGGTATGGCTTTGACAGTGATCTGCAGTCATTCATTTAATATTTGTGAGGCCAGCAGGGTGTGTGCTCTCTGTTATTCCTAATGCCCCAGTAGAGCAATGGGGATATTATACTGTAAAAAGACTGTCATTTGGATGACATGTTATTGTGATGTCCAGACTCCCTTGTAATAAAAAAAAATAATTAAATTAAATTAAATTAAATTAAATTAAATTAAAATAATATTTTAATAATTTAAAATAATAATAAAAGAATTTTCTTCCAATCTCTGTGCCCACCAGAAAAATCCACGATAAAAAAAAATCGTCCTGGCAGACAAATATATTGCAGTCAGACGGGGAGGCCTTGTTAATCCTTGTTTTTTTGTTTTTTTTTAGCAGGGAAATACTTCATAAACCATCTCTAAACTGTGTTCTAATTGTTTTTTTTTTTGTGTGCTAACCAGCTATAAAGGTACACTACCATTCAAAATTATTATTTTTTCAATTATAATTATTCATCAAAAGTGTATTAAATTTATGAAAAGTGACAGTAAAGACATTTATAATGGTAATGTAATAAACAAACAAACAACAACAACAACAACAACAAAATCTATTTCAAATAAATGCTGTGCTTTTGAACTTTCCTTTTATCAAAGAATCCTGAAAAAAGTGATTATATTATTATTATTAATAATAATAATAATAATAATAATAATCTTTATTGAGCAGCAAGTCAGCATATTAGAATGATTTCTGAAGGAACGTTTCACTGAAGACTGGAGTAATGATCACAAGAATAAATTACATATTAAAATATAAATATAAACATTACATATTAAAATATAAATATAAAAATACATAAATATAAAAAAGTTATTTTAAATTGTAATACTATTTCACAATATTACTATTTTACTATGTTTTCAATCAAATATATATAGCTTTGGTAAGAATACAAAACTTCTTTTAAAAACATTTTATAAAATCATTCTGACCCCAGACTTTTGGACGGTAGTGTACATGCATTGAGTTGAATTAAATTGAAATGAAGATCTCAACAAAGCATGAACAGTTGTACTAATTTTACTACTAATTAAACCTATTATTTCTCAACAAACAGGCAACATTCTCCTTTGAGGCTGGGCGAAGATGCGACTCGGGGGAAGGCAACTTTGAGTTCGACACAAAGCAAGGAAACAGCATCTTCCAATCTGTAGAGGCCGCCATCAATCTACACAGAGTCAATTTACCTCAGAAGCAGATATCAAGTGGGGAGCGAGATACCATCCCCTCTTCACCTCGAATGAGAGCTGTGGCAGAGGAAGCAGGTATCTACAGTGTGGTGACTGAGGGAGCAATCAGAGACGGACCCAAACAACCCCAGAACCCTCAGCAATCCAGACTTGAAACCCCTGCAGAGAAGCTTCTGACCGGAGTCAAGAGCCTGACCCTGGACACCAGGCCTCCGCCACGTAAGAGCCAGGTCAAGAACTTCCGCAGCTGTCCTTTGGTCAACAGTGAGGATGAGATGTATTCCCGGGCAATGGCACTGGATCCAGATCGGGGAAGTCCAGGGGAGAAGAGAGAACCAAAAGACCGCCGTTCCACATGCTCCAACCCTGAGGACTCTGACTACTCACTGCCCTTTGACACCATTGCCAAGAATGTTACGGGAGACATTTTGTCCGCATCAAACCCTCCACCCATGTTTGTAGAGCCCAGCTGTGAAAATGACAAGAAAGGCAATATAGAGAACACAGAACCACTTTATGACATCATAGATGAAACTGCTATCAGAACCCGTTTCCAAAACAGAAAAACACATTCTTACAAAAGAGTGGAGCACATCTATGATGAACCAGAGGGTTGCGGTGTGGCCCCAAGTGGGCCTCCATCGCTCTATGATGAACCGGAGGAGGTCAAAGGTCATGCTTGGAAGATGTTGGGCACAGTAATGGATCCGAGCGGTCACGAGTATCCATACAACGCTTCTGTCGACGACTACGCGGTTCCTAAACCTCCCAGGAGGGCCTTGCTGTCAAAGCAGGACAGTGAGGAAGAGGAGAGTTCACCGTACGATAACATCATGGTGAAAGGAATGCAAAAGAATAACTAAAGACTGCTCCAGAATCTAAAGAGGACAATGAAGTTAAATATAAGCGAGTGTGTAAATGAATGAATGAATGAATTAATTAAATATTTAATCAGTTAATGTGCATAATATGGATCAACACGATCTCACGGCAATTTGTACATATTTAACAAGGTGGCTCATTCGTACGAATTTGTATGACCACACTCATACAAATTCATACGATTTGTGAAAAATCGTATGCATTTTATGAGGTGGCAAATTCGTAGGAATTCGCCCCTAAACTTAACCGTCACAGAAATCCTACAAAATTGTATGAGTGAGGTCGTATGAATTAGCCACCTCGTAAAATACGTACGAATTGGCTGTGAGATAGCGTTCTATGGATAATAGTTATCAGAGTGCTTTATTGTTCTTCAAAAAGCTGTGATCTGCAACACATATCATCATGCTGGTCAATATGATTAACAATTCCATTCCAACATTAAATGTCTATGGGTAAATCACTATAGCCTAACTTTAACCAAATGTGCTAAAATTGCGCTGTAACGCAAATGTTTAAATTGTGATTATTTTAATCCCAGACTCACCTTCTTTATATAAATTAGGCTTGTTATAGATCGTACCTTATTCACAACTTGCAACTTGTTTGCAATATATAGAGTTATCTATAATGAGCCTAATTTACATAGTAAGGAGACATGTATTTAAAAAAAAAAGTATATATGTTAGTTAGTTAAACTGGTTAAACTAAATTGCGAGTCTGAATAATTTTTTAACGAATACAAGTTCATGTGATCAGTATAATGCAATGTTAACTGCACTAGCAAACAACAATGCGTGTTGTGAAAAAGGTGCAGTCTATAATGAGAGTTTGCCCTTAAGACAAATTTAAATGAACTGCACAGCGCTATTTTAGCACATTCAGCTGATTGCAGGTGTTCTTTAAAAAGTCAAAAGTGGGCTTGTGTAAATAAAATTTAATGAAAACATTGAAAACATGAATATAACGCAGCAATTATTGCAATGGCAAATAGCGATGCAAGTTGAGAATAAGGTCCAGTCTATAATAAGCCTAATTTAAAAAGAAGCGTGCTCGTGCTTATTCACTCTTATTCAAGAATATTCACAGTGCATCGATACATTAGCACATTTAGCTACTGGTTAAACTGGATTGTGGGTGATCTTTAAAAAGCTAAATACGTGCACATCCAAATAAATGCCTGGATATTTCACACTTCACTATTTCTTGGCGAATAAATGTTCACATGATCAATAAAGCGCAACGTTAATCGCACCGGCAAATAGAGGTGTGTGTTGTGATTGTGAATAAGGTGCAATCTTTAATGAGCCTAATTTAAATAAAAATATTTAAACATCACAATTGTGATCACAATTAGTCATTAAATAAACTTTTTGTGGGTGGTTAGCACATAATAACACAGCAGGCAAAAAGTGACGCTACTGTTTAGCATCACCAATTCAGCGCATTTAGCTAACTGGATTGAAAAAAGCCAAAAGTAGGCTTGTCTGATTATATAAAATTTGATTAATAAATAATCACAATAAATGTAACATTCTATTCTCAAAACTTTAGCTTTTTAAATAACCAATTCAGGCCCCGGAATCTGTATAGCGTGTTGTCTACTGTATTCTCCACAACCTAGCGCTTAGAACCAACCCTAAAGATGGGCATTTGCGTTCAGCACAAATTCTGTGGACGTTTTTGCACTGTTAACTGATTTGCATAACCACAAACAGCTAAAACAGTTCTATCAGCAGCAGGCGCAGTGCATTCTTAGTGAATTCCACACTAAGTGTCCTAATAGTATACGGCTGTATCTACTATGACCTTCACTATCTACAAAGACGTAGTTGATTTTATTCAGAGTAATTTAGCTTTTGTTGAACACTGCCCTTTTTTGTTCTCATTTCTACGGGACTGTGATGAGAGCTCACACAGGTAATTAAAGTCCTGCAGATCTCTCCCAAAATGGATGACACCCATCACCTAACCCTCTGCTTGCTAATGATGGACAAGGGAGTTCCGCCAAGTGTCATTGTGTTATTCAGGCCAGACTCTGTCTTTCCCTCTCACAGGCTTCCTATTTTGAGGAACACATGCATAATAATAACTTGACTTACAGAGGGAAACTGGGGCACTGTTAGGATGCTGCTGGGCTCCCTGCCTGCCACGGTTCATGAGTCCCAAACAGTCTCGAGACTTTTAAAAGTTTGAAAACACTTTACAGCTCTTATCACTTCAGTTTCTTTCTTCTTTCAGAGCATTCCAGAAATATGAACAGCATCGCACATTGTTTGTATGTATTTCACTGTACATTGGTCACGTTTTAAATGCATACAGCATATTGTTATCATTGTAATTAGGCTGGATATAGTTCAAAGCATACATGAGGGCAATTGAAAGCTATCTGCTGCCATCAGACTGAAGAGAGATGTGGTGGCAATCTGCTACTGGAACATTTTAGCATAGTTTTGCAACTCATTAACTGAGTAAACTGGTGCAGACTTAAGACGTCATTCCAGTACACACTGATGCACTTATTCCAGATTTGGGAATCTGCTGTGAGATGAGCTCTGCATAAATGCTGAAAAAGATGAAAGCTTTGCTAAACACTGACTCTATGGCCTAGTTCCTTGTTGTGTAATATAGGTTGTTGAACAGCAGGGGGCACTGTTTCTCCTCAATAGCGAGCCTCTGCAATAACACTGCGTGGTTGGAGTCATGGTGTGCGTCGTTGTGAGTGAGAGTCGAAAGCTTCAGGGGTGTTGATTTTTTGTTAATAAAAAATATTTTCTCTCTTATTGTTGCACAGAAATCGACTTGGAGTATTCAGTGGTATGCTTAAAATTAATGGGCAAAAATCAGCTGAAATGTGCTTAGTGTTCCTGAATAAATAAGAGTGCTGCAAGCTTATTTTTGGTGAAGATCATGAGCCTCATGCCAAGTTATGTTTCATGCCCACGATTTCTTTGAACCAGACTTGACACTAAGGCAACGCGAGTCTAATGTGGAAAGTCTGAAGATAGACATTACTGATAGTTTTTTTCAGATGTAAAGATGTAAAGTGATACAACACTGGCACCATACTGTATATGACACTGTCTACAATGAGATCAATAATACCTGGGTATCTCTCGACTTATAGAGTAAAACTTAAAAAACTTAAACTTATTATAAATATAATAATATATAAACAGGTTATAGATTATATATACATTATTATATATAATATTATATAATAGTTTATAATATGTAAAAGTATATAATATTAAATGATATATAATATTATATACATAATCTGTATGTGTGTGTGTGTATATATATATATATATATATATATACTGTATATATATATATATATATATGTACATACATACATATAACCACAAACACACACAGTTTTATGCAAAAGTTTGGCCACCCCCTCTGAGGCTGCATAATAATGTGAACTTTCTCTATAAGAAAAGATCGTAGTGATATGCCATTCAGTTTCTAGAGAAAGCTGAATAATGTGAGGTGTGTGAAATAAAATAAAAAGTGAAAAATAGGCTGTGCAAAAGTTTGGGCACCCTCTCAGTTGTGTTGATTTGAATACCTGTAGTCACTTAATGCTGACTGATTGCAACACAAACTTTATTTGATTGACTCAATGAACCTTAACCCTGCAAACACAGGTGCTACCAATTATGAAACAGGGTATTTAAGGTAGCTGATTGCTAGTTGTGCTTCTCCTTGATCTCTACGGGAAAGTAGCAAAATGGGAACCTCAAAAGAACTCCCTAATGACCTAAAAACTTGGATAATTCATCAATAGGAATTAGGAGAAGGAAACAAAAAGTTATCACATAGGTTTAAAGTCTCTGTCTCCACAGTCAGAAATATAATTAGAAAATGGAAGCACACAGGAACAGAAAGGAAAATGTGGTAGGCCAAGAAAAATATCTGAAAGACAAAGAATGGTTAGAATGGTCACAGTCAAACCACAGACCCCCAAAGAGCTCCAAGAACATCTTGCTGCTGATAATGTCATTGTACATCGTTCCACAGTCCAGCGCACTTTGCACAAGGAATGGCTCAATGGAAGGGATGCGGAAAAAGCCTTTTATGCATACTGCCATCAAGCAGAGTTATTTGAGGTATGCAAAGGCACATCTGGACAAGCCTGAATTATTCTGGAATAATGTGCTGTGGACAGATTAGACTAAAATAGAATTATTTGGTCACAACCAGAGGCGCTTTGCATGGCGGAAAAAGAACACAGCGTTCTTTATATACATAATATATATACTGTATATAATATGATAATTTAGAAGATGAGTTACTGTAAACTGAGTTTGCTGTCCTGCTCAATCATAATTGTGCCCTTGCGCAAAATACTTCACCCCAGGTTATCCCACGGGCTTTGTGCTTAATTGGTGCACTGTAAGTCACTTTATATGAAACCATCTGCTAAAATGGCAAATATCTATCTGGAATAATAAACTGCTTCCCAGATGCAAATAAGAGCTTGTTTTTTTTCAATAGAAGTACAAACTCTTAGAATAACCATATAACATGTTTAGTACATGTGTTGTTAAAGAGGGAGAAATGTGCAGTACAGCGCTGATAACCCCACTTTAAAGCAATTGTGTCTGATCAATAAATACATGAGGATGTGCAGCGTTCAGTGTATTGGAGTGGTTATTTGGCTCCAGTAGATCCAATTTACCAGTGACACTTTCTAATGATAAGCAACTGCCTAATAGAACGGGTCAAATTTAACGGCCGTTTCATATCCAGGAGCGATGCCTTTTAAATTCCAATTCATCACCTTTGATTGCACTATTGACAGTATAAAGATTCTTATGCACACTGTGTAGGGTGGCCATATGTGCCATTTATACGGGACACGTCCTGGCCATGATTTTTATATTGCCTAAAACTTACAAAGTAGTTTGACCAATAACATGCAGGTATTGTACATAATCGACCAATCGTGGAGCGTGAGAAGGTGAGAACGATCAAAGCGATGCAAATGCGTGCACGTGTTTGTCCGTTTGTTCGACTTGAAACTGCGAACCGATCATTGTATGACACCAAAGTACTGCGAGAGCGATTTAAAAACATAAGGAGCCGTCTGCTCTGCTCTCAATAGCTCTCGTGAAATAATGTCATACAACGATCGATTTTCACAGTGCTAACAGCCAAAACCTGGATATTTTAGGCAATATAGAAATCCTGGCAAGGGTGCGTCCCGTAGAAATGGCCCGTATGGTCACCCTAACACTGTGGGGTTGTCATCACTATGCGCTTTTATTTACATTTACATTTACATTTTGATGAGTGAGATGACTGAAGAATCCATTGTTTTTGACTCCACTCACTGCACGTTCATATCAATGTCTCTGCTGCTCTATTTCAATCTGGCTCTCACATCAGCTGGTGCAGTGACATCGGAAAATGGAAAGAATTTCTTCTCTAACACCCTGGAGTTGGAGCAATGCCATTCTGACAGCTTAATGTATGGCATTTAAAGCCATTTCACCAGATCACTTCTACCCTCCGCACTGCATGTCATGCAGGATGACAGCAAAGTAGGGGTCACTGTCACTTTAAAGATGATTTGGGACACATTTGCATGAAAGTGTTAGAAACACCCTCTTATATGATGCTTGAGTTGAATATATTTTTTAATCTCTTCAAATGCACATGATCTAGTTATTGAAGTAGGCTACTTGACTCGCAGTGAAGACGTAAAGAGATCTAACATATTGAAACTGGACGACGGCCAACGGTAGATTATCTTGCTCTGTGCAATTTTTTTGAGGTTACTTATGGCTGATTAGAGTTATAACAGCCTACATCTAGAGGTAACTTTTCACCTCTTGATTAGCTCGGTTGGAATGGCGTTATACTGTTAAGAAAAATCTCGTATTCTCATGTGACACGGAATTTTTATGGAGTCTAATGGTGAGGTCACAGAAAGGGAGCGTTCTGTCCTTATGGAATTGGTGCTGCCAACCCAATCAGCTTTATTTAAATTACATCTAAGTCCAAATAAACATACTGAGCAAGACAACACTTGCTAGACCTGCCCATATGATTAAATGCAGTTCGGAGGTGAATAGCAGCAAATAAACACAGAGTGCAGACCTACAGTTGTAACACCAGTAATTACAATGTAATAAACTGAACAGAATACAGCAAAACTGTCTATTTCATTTGCCATCCAGATAAGAAGTAATCGTAAGAATTTTAGGTTAATATTTGATTTCAAACATTGGCCAATCATTGAGCGATCAAATGTGGTTACGAAGCTTACGAGTAGGACAGTTAGCAGAA